TCTCAAAAAAAAAAAAAAAAAAAAGGGCAGGATGTCAGGCCGGGCGTGGTGGCTCACACCTGTAATCCCAGCACTTTGAGAGGCTGCGGCGAGCAGATTACCTGAGGTCAGGAGTTCAGTACCAGCTTGGCCAACATGATGAAACCCTGTCTCTACTAAAAATACAAAAATATTAGCCAGGCATGGTGTGGCACGCCTGTAGTCCGAACTACCTGGGAGGCTGAGGCAGGAGAATTGCTTGAACCCAGGAGATGGAAGTTGCAGTGAGCTGAGATTGTGCTACTGCACTCTGGCCTGGGTGACACAGCAAGACTCTTTCCCAAAAAAAAAAAAAAAAAAAAAAAGGCAGGATGTCACTGCCTTTGTGACTGCATTGGCTTCCACCCCAGGCACTTGAATCTTTGGGTCCCCCATGCCAGTCAACTGGGTGTTCAGGGCACGTTCTCATCATGAGAAGGGAGACCTGCAGCCCCCTTACAGGACTGACAGAGGACCTGGTCTGGATTAGGCCCTTTCCTAGCCCTGGAGATACAGCAGTGGGTGAGACAGACAAGATCTGCCCTGTTACGGTCATAGGCCAATGTGATGAACAGGTGTGCAGGACCAAGAGGGCACTCCCCTGACCCACCTGTTTCCTTGCCATACTTCATCCTCTGGGAACAAGGCTGCTTGTTTGGTTTGAGGGGAGTTGGTTTGGTTCTTATCCCTTAGCACTGAGACATAGAGGCTTCCTGGACTGCTGTAGTGAGACACCAACTTCAAGAATCTGAATACTCGCTTTCTCTCCCTGCAGAGCAAAAAAAGACTTAGTACTGCCTGTGGAGAAGGAGGTGCAGAACTACCAGGCCCTGCTGCTGCTTCTTTACAGCCCTCCCAGACAGACACAGGCACTTCATCATACTCAAACTGGACTTATCTTCTAGGCACTTTCCCTTCTCCATCCAGAAAATGGAGTTATTTTGTCTTATTTCAGCAAGTCCAGTTGATTTTACCTTTGAAATAGCACCTGAGTCTTTCACCTTCTTTCCATCCCTGCTCTCTCTTGCCTGGCACGGGTCCCCAGCACTTCCCTAGTAGGCGGGACAGCCATTCCTTGGGATGCACACGTCTAGTCTTTGCCTAGATATAACAGGTCTTTACCAGCTGAGCTAGGCTGTTGTGTTCTTAGAGGCATTGTTTTTGCCCACTCTTCCCATTTATTATTTATTTATTTATTTTAAGATGGAGTTTCGCCATGTTGGTCGGGCTGGTCTTGAACTCCCGACCTCAGGTGATCCACCCGCCTTGGCCTCCAAAGTGCTTGGATTACAGGCATGAGCCACCACGCCCGGCCATATTCTTCCCATTTATAAGTGAATCAGATACCACAAAAGTGAGGGCTCGTAGCCCCATAGGTGATTAGTCCGGGGACCAGAGATTTGAGTGTGTTTATTACTTGGCTTTTTGGGGACAGATTCCATCCACAGACCCATGTGTTACCAAGGTCTGACTCACTGGGAGAGAAACAGGGTGAGGTTGGAAAGCTGACCTTCCAGAGACTTGGGGCCCATGTTGTGTGGTACACATGGGAGTCAGCTTATCAGATTGAGATTGGGGGGGCTCAATCTGATAAACTGACTCCCATATGTACCACACAACATGGGCCCTAAGATGGGGGCAGAGTGCCGTGGTCTGTGCCTGTGGGGCCATCCTGAGAAAGGGAGCTTCTGACAAGCTGACTCCCACCATCTTTGCTGCAGCATATCGACAAAGTCTTCAAACACAAGGACCTGCAACAGCAGCTGGTGGACGCCAAACTTCAGCAGGCCCAGGAGATGCTAAAGGAGGCAGAAGAGCGGCACCAGCGGGAGAAGGATTTTGTGAGGCTCAGGCCCCAGGGTTGGGGTATGGGTGTGGGAGGAGGTAGGTTGGGCTCTCGCTCAGCTTATAGCCGGGTTGTATGGGATTTGTCGTCTGCCCAGACCAGGCACAGATTCCTTGAGTACCAGTCTGATAGCAGGAAGCCTCAGTGGGTCTGATGCTTGTGGCTAAAAACCAAACACAGCCCCTGGGGGCTTCTGACAGGATCTGGGATTCTGTCTTGGAAATAGCTCCTGAAAGAGGCAGTAGAGTCCCAGAGGATGTGTGAGCTGATGAAGCAGCAGGAGACCCACCTGAAGCAGCAGGTGAGAGTGTATAACCTGACCCTGTGCCTTTCAAGTTCCCCTCACTGGGCCCCATCCTGCAGGGAATGAACGGGGACCCTCATTCCAGGACTGGTTCTGTGCTGGCTGCTCTGAGACCTTAGTTGATCCTTTGTTCTCTTTGGACCTGCACAGTACCTATGTGGTGGTGACCAGGTAGTTGGGTGAGCTTAGAGGACTTCATTTGTAGCTCAGAAATGTTGTATTGCTTTTGAGGAGGTGAGAACAGAAGAATTTGAAAATCAACATAAAGGAAAATAAAAGTCACCCTAAATCTACTTTCCAGGCTTAGCATTTTGGATTACATCCTTCCAAATATACATCTTTGCTTTATTTTAAGGAAAAATAGTATCTCAGTAGAATTATTGGCTCAGAGAGTCAAGGACAGGTCTGAGTGTGTTGACCAGAGTGCCTTCCAGAGAAACCCAGTGTCATCTGTGGGCTACTTTCTCCACCAGCTTGCCCTATACACAGAGAAGTTTGAGGAGTTCCAGAACACGCTTTCCAAAAGCAGCGAGGTATTCACCACATTCAAGCAGGAGATGGAAAAGGTAACAGTGGGCCAGGCCAGGCTTGGCTGCTGGGGCATAAACTGCTTCATTCAGAATGGTTGGGCCTGCCTTCAGGAAGTTCCCATCTGGAGTATCTCAAGGGTGGGGCTTCCCTTGCGAACCCTCAAGGGGTGGGGTCACAGCCTTTCCTCTTGAGGCAGTATCAGTGGTATGTATACCCTGAAGGTTGTCCTAGGAAATGGAACAGGAAATGGAGCAGTCTGAGTTCTTTTTTTTTTTTTTTTTTTTTTTTTTTTGAGATGGAGTGTCTCTCTGTTGCCCAGGCTGGAGTTCAGTGGCATGATCTTGGCTAACTGCAGCCTCCACCCTCCTGGGTTCAAGTGATTCTCTTGCCTCAGCCTTCTGAGTAGCTGGGATTACAGGCGTGTGCCACCATGCCTGGCTAGAGTGTGTGTGTATGTGTGTTTTACTAGAGATGGGGTTTCAGCATGTTGGCCAGGCTAGTCTCTAATTCCTGGCCTCAAGTGATCCGCCCATCTCAACCTCCCAAAGTGCTGGGATTACAGATGTGAGCTACCGTGCCCGGCCCCTTACCATTTCTTGTTACTGGTGGTGGACACCTGTGACTTCCTGGTGGTGAGGTGGCACAGAGGGCATTTACTATACCCTGTAATACCTTGCCCCTTGGGATCGATCAGTCCCTATTTTGGAGAAACAGGTGCACAGAGAGAGCCTGGCTCTGACCATTTCCTTCTGTCTGTCACATAACCTAGATGACTAAGAAGATCAAGAAGCTGGAGAAAGAAACCACCATGTACCGGTCCCGGTGGGAGAGCAGCAACAAGGCCCTGCTTGAAATGGCTGAGGAGGTGGGCTGTCTGTGATATGCAGCCAGGGTGGGGGTGTGCACTTAGCACGTATCAGGCCCTTTCCTGTATGTTCTACCCATCAGTGACACAGCTAGCATGAGGTAGAGGTGAGATTTGCACACATTGTCCAAGTCCAGAGTTAATGCTGTCTCCCTAGGGGAGGTGATAAGCCCAGGGGTAGTTCTCCAGTGGGAGTCAAGGGAGCAAATGGAAGAAAGGAATAAAGGAGCAGAAAAAACGGGTGCCAGTGATGTTCCTGGTTTACATGTAAAGCAGCCCAGGTAATTTGTGATTTCATGGCTTGTAATGTAGAAGAAAGGACCTAACACTGATGGAGCAGACTGCAAACCATACCTTGCTGCATGTTTTAGGTATGTGGTTCATTGAACCTTTTGAGATCTGAGGATGGCATTAGTAGTCCTGTTTTACAGATGAGACAGGCTTAAAAGCCAAGTCCTTTGCCAAGGTCATGTGGTAGATAAATAAAGGAATACCTTATCTCCAAGCCATTTTGCACCACACTGCCCCACCTGAGAGCCCAGTCATGGCTTCAGCCAGGGCCGTTTCCTAGAGGGGGCCAGCTTTGGACTCTGGTCTGCTTGCTCCCAGCCTTGTTAAAGTGTTTGCCACCAAGTAGTGATGGTAAGTGGGGGGTTGATGGGGTATGGCCCTGAAGGTCTCATTTCTCTCTCTAGAAAACAGTCCGGGATAAAGAGCTGGAGGGCCTGCAGGTAAAAATCCAACGGCTGGAGAAGCTGTGCCGGGCGCTGCAGACAGAGCGCAATGACCTGAACAAGAGGGTACAGGACCTGACTGCTGGTGGCCAGGGCTCCCTCACTGACAGTGGCCCTGAGAGGAGGCCAGAGGGGCCTGGGGCTCAAGCACCCAGCTCCCCCAGGGTCACAGAAGCGCCTTGCTACCCAGGAGCACCAAGCACAGAAGCATCAGGCCAGACTGGGCCTCAAGAGCCCACCTCCGCCAGGGCCTAGAGAGCCTGGTGCTGGGGCATGCTGGGAAGGGAGCAGCAGCCCAGCCAGGCCTGGCCCATAAAAGGCTCCCATGCTGAGCAGCCCATTGGTGAAGCCAGGATGTTCTGATCTGGCTGACATCTGACACTTGCAATTTTGGATTTTGTGGGTCAGTTTTACGTACATACGGCATTTTGCAAGGCCTCATGCATTTACCCCTGTAAGTGTACAGTGGGCTTTGCATTGGGAGTGGGGGTGTGTACAGATGAAGTCAGTGGCTCCTCTGTGAGCTGAAGAGTCTTGAGAGGGCTGTCATCTGTAGCTGCCTTCACGGTGAGTTGGCAGAACAAGTGACTTAAGCATTTCTCTGCCTGATTTGAGGCTCAGACCCCTCCCAGCCCTTCAGAGCTCAAGACAAGTGATACACCCGGGTCTTAACTGCATTTCTCTTGTGAGCAGGGCTTGCTTGAGCAGCTCAGGCTCTCCTAGCTGCTCTGGAGGCTCCTTTGCTTCTCTAGACCTGGAAAATGTGTCCCCAGGCAGAGCCCTGGCAGTGCGCTTGGAGCTGGTGATTTCCTGCCTAGGACAAGGGACTTAGAGAATGTTTTTATGTGGGATGATGCACTGGTCGGGAGCCCGTTGGGCATTGCTTCCCCTGCTCTTTGGTAGTGCCAGGACCAGGCCAACGATGCTTCTCAGTAGCCTTATCATTCACAGGTGCCTCTCTAGCCTGCACAAATGATTGACAAGAGATCACCCAAAGGATTCTTTCTGAAGGTGTTTTTTTCTATTTTTTTTTTTTTTTTTTTTTTGCACATGACAGTGTTTGTATTGAGGATCCTCTGAGGAAGAGGGGTGCTGTGGCAGTGGCGCCTGGGTGCCTGGCCTCCAGTGCCCCACCCCCTTCACCACCCCACTTGGCTCCTTTGCCATCTTGGTGCTGAGGTTTCCTGTGTGGTGAGATCAGGTTGTTCGTTGTAAGAGAAAGGAAAGGGCTTCTGATGGCTTTGCCACAAGCTTACCTGTGGGTTTCCGTCCTGAGAGGCCACCCCCAGTTCCCATCAGCACTGTCTCCATGCAGCAGTTGCTGGGCCCCAAGTCCAGCTGCCTCCTTGGCTTCATGGGTTTTTGTGTTTCCTGCCCCCACCCCGACATGTACAGTCCTCAAGATTTGTCCTGATTCCATTTCCTGGCACCTCCCTGCCTGTCCTTGGCGATTCCACTTCTGTGTGGGAGCCCGTAGCTATTGTCTGACAGGTAAGAAATGAAATTGAACTATTGACTGGGCCCTAGAAATCCATAAAATAGCTGTAGACGGTTGTTTCTGTGTCCTATTCTCCCCCCACCCCTGTACCTAACTATGTACTGCGTAGAGCCATTTATATGCTGAATGTTCTGCTGTTGCAAACTTGCCAGGGTATTAGCCAGTCTTTATGCAAAGCAGTTTTCTGGGACAATAGAATGAGTCACACACCAAGATGGATAGGAGGTTAGGGCTTTGCTTCTTGCTGTTTTTCTTTGAAGCTAGTTCATTGTCCTCTGGTCCTTCATCTTCCCTACCCAGCCCACTCTTTCAGCCCTTAAATCTCTCAGATAAATTGGTTCATAAAGAATGTTAAGTACTGAATCATGTATGACTGAGACCAGAGATGGCAAATGAATGGCACATCATTTCTCCTCCTGCCCCAGGGCAGGTACCACTGTTCTGCATCAGAGTTGTCCACTATCCTCTGGTGTATCCTTAGTTCGCATCTAGGTGCCCTCAAGCAGCTGTGTGAGCGTTGAGATCTCTTTGCCATCCCTGGCTGAGATACTGCTGTCCTGTGAAGTGTTTCCCAAGATCTTTTTCTTCCCTTTTGAATCCCTGTGTCTGGAGTAGTCCTTGCCTCTTCCTGCCCCAGTAGGGCCTTTTCCTTACCCCAGCCCCTGTGCCTGGCTTAGCTGGTACAAGTGCTGCCAACCCCACAGAGTGTTTGCTAGGCGAGAGAGGTGCAGAGAAGAGGCAGAGGTATGCACCTTGCCCCTTGAAGAGAGGGAAAAGGCCTACAGTGGCCCCACATCATTGCCTGACTCACTTCAGCTACCTCTTACAGCTTGTAGAGGGACTGGAGCTGCTGGATCCCAGTGTGGTGGGTGTGGGAGGCCACAATGAGCAGGTGGCCCCAGCTGGGTTTCCCAGGTCAGGAATGTGGACACCAGACAAGGTGCAGCCTTTGCTCACAGCTCCATCCATGTCTAGATCTTCAGGCCAGTCTGCAGATGGGAGTCCCTACCTTTTTCTTCCTATTCATTGACCAAATCATAACCAATCACTACAGCTGCTCTGCTTCTGCTTTCCAAAGTAGCCCAGGTCCTGGGCCAGATGCAGGGGAGGTGCCTATCCATGAGTGAAGGCCATTGCCTTCCTCACCCGGGTGGGTCCCACACTTGTGACCTCAGTTTTAGGACCAAGAGCTGTGTTGGTTTCTTAGATTGCTAGCTTTTCCTCCAGGGGACCACAGCAAGTGAAGCTCAGAGTCTTGCTCTGCTAACAATAAGTTGTTTTCAGGGCCTTGTCCAGCCAAGAGCTTCATGTCCACCAGATTCTGAGAGGTGTCAGCAGCACTTTTTTTTTTTTTATTTGTTTTTTGTTTTCCATGAGATTTTTGGACCATGGGCTGAGCTCAGGCACTTTCTGTAGGAGAATGTTATTTCTGTAAAGACGGTTATTTAACCCTCCTCCACCCCATCATGGCGGCCCTGAGGGCTGACCCGGAGGCCAGTGGAGCTGCCTGGTGTCCACGGGGGAGGGCCAAGGCCTGCTGAGCTGATTCTCCAGCTGCCGCCACAGCCCACCCACCTTGCACAGCACAGAGGTGGTCACCCCAGGGACAGCCAGGCACCTGCTCCTCTTGCCCTTCCTGGGGGGAGGGGGCTGCCTTCTGTTCCTGTAACTGCTTTCCTTATGGCCCAGCCCGGCCACTCAGACTTGTTTGAAGCTGCACTGGCAGCTTTTTGTCTCCTTTTGGTATTCACAACAGCCAGGGACTTGATTTTGATGTATTTTAAACCACATTAAATAAAGAGTCTGTTGCCTTACTTCTCTCCTGACCTGTGTGCTCCTTTGATGCTTGTGGATTGGATCTATTCAGCCCCTTCAATCATCACTGACTTGTCCAGGTCTGCTGCAGAGTGGCCATGACGGTGCTCTGGCATCTTGCATCTTCGAGAGTGCCTTTGAGCAGTTACCACAGCCACAGGACACTGGCAGATTCACTTGAGCTGCCTGAGTGGAGCCCTTGGCAAAGTTGGCAAGACCCTTGCATCAGAGAGGATCCCTCAAAAAAAATTGTCCTTGATCTGGGGGCTCATGGGCTAGAGAAGGGAAACGGTACTTTTAGGTATAGACAGGTCATTGGTGCTGAGAGCAGAGAGGAGGCCCCTGCCCCCTTCAGCAAGGGGTGGGGGTGATGCCTGGAATGGCCTGAACCAAAGGTCGGGTAGAAGATTAACGTCATTTAGTGATGAAATGGTATAGCTGGGAAGCAAGTGCATGGGATGGGGCAAGGGGGTGAGGCTAGGCCCAGAGCCTGGGTACCAGGTTGAGGAATGTGGGCTAGATCCAGAGGGCAGGGGGGCAACTCAAGGTGTTTCAATAGGAAATTGATAGGCTCCAGGAGTAAGGCAAAAAGTATGGAGCCAGGCATAGGCCAACTGAGGCCTAGGTTAAGACAAGTGGACACTCCTTACTGCTATTTGGGTCTGTGTTGTGAGTAAGCACCTATAGCCCTGGCCTGCCCAAGGGAATGCACAGGGGCCTCTAATTGTATGTATTCCTTAAGGAGAGCACATTCTCTGTTCAATTTTTACACTGCCCATTTACCCACCTCAAGCCTGGGACTCCTGTATGGGAGAGATTCTGCTGGTGGCCTCACCCACCACCCTGTTCTTTCTGGGGCCTGGGTTGGTCTGGCACAAAGGAGGATATGTGCTGAATGTCCAAAAAATGGCAGAGGCAACCCACATGCCCTTCCTTCCAGGCCTCACAAGTAGATGTGTTCACACTGGCTGTGACAGTCCCAGCAGAGCCTCTGACCCTTCTAGCCAGGTCCTGATAAATGTTTTTTCTGTGCTGACCATGTTATTTCCAGTGACATCTGGAGGGTGGGGGTGGGGAGGCTGCTGCCCCAACTCTTGGAACTTCCAAGCAAAGCAGCTCTGAGAATAGTGAGGTTTCTGACCCCCTAGTGAGGCAGCTGAGGATGGGAACCATAAGGGTGCTCCCTCTGTCAGCAGCAGTGCCACTGTCTATCAGCTCCCGGGGACGGGGGGGGGGGATTTCCGTGGTCCCCACTCTGGCCTCCTGGTTATTGAAAAAGTCTAGAATTACTCTCTCCCCTTGTGTAGTGGTCTCAGTGTTGGAAGTACCCGAGAAGGAATCGTGAGCAGGTGACCTCAGGAGCAGTGCCCATGGCCCCTCACATCACCAGAGGCCAAACCTCAGAAAGCCACTTCTGCCCGGAAAGGGGAAGGTGGGCTGGGTGGCTGTGTGCACTGCCCTGGGCCAGCTCACTTGAGCCGGCTGGGCCGCCTGGCCAAACACGAGCCTCTCCCCTGTTGTATCAGATGCTGCTCTGGGGACCTGCGCCAGGAGTCTCTGCCAGGGCTTTAAATAGCCCCATTGATCTGGCTGCGAGCAGCAGCAGCCACACTAGGTCAGCGGCCTTTCAGCACTCAGGTTCCCCTGAGGACTGGAGTCAAGTGCCAGGGAATTGCATGATCTTCCTTATGACCTGGTGCTCCCCACACCTGTCTCCTAGGCCTGGGGAGTGGGGAGGGCTCCTGTCACTTCATTTGTGGCAAAAGACAGGCCCCAACACTTAATAGAGAAAACTGCCTGGTGTTGTAGAGAGGGGGATTTTGCCCTCAAAAGACTGTTGAGGGCTTTCGCTAGACTGAGGAATGACACTGATATCTTCCTTCAGGGTTGTTATGGGGATTAAATGTACCTAAAGTGCTCCACTGAGCTCACTCCATTGATGGTTGTCTTTGCTCACAGTGTCTTCCTGCTGCTGCTTGTGCTGCTTCTATGCTTAACATTCTCTCTCTCTCTGTCCTGTCTCTCCTCTCCCCCGCCCCACCCCCCTTTCTGACAAAGCCACCACCATTTTGTAAGGAACTGTAGCTTCTCTCTGAAACTGCCGGGAAAGGGAAAATCTTTTTAAAATTGACGTCACACAACCAACAGGGTCCCCTAGGTTCAGACGGGGAGGTGAGAGGAACGGCGTAGCACATGCGGGGATGCTCCTCCCTTCTCATCCTTCCCAGCTAAGGAGAAGGTCACTTTCTCTTTAAATGCAAATTAACTCCCTCCAGCTTAGCTTCCACCCAGTGGTGTTCCCAGGAGGAGAGGGCGGAGGGCGGAGGGAACTTGCACTGAAGAAGCATCACTCGAGACCCCAAACCTCCAGGTCAGTAGCCCCCTGAGGGAATGAGGGCGGGGGCGGAATGACGCGGGTCTGACGCTCCGTCTTCGAGCGCGGCTCCGGAGCTGAGCGATGCGTTTGGCACATGGCTTTGGAGCCCGGGCGTGGGAAATAGATCCCCAGTCGCCCCAGCCGCTCCTGGGGAGCACAGGCTCCGGCTCCAGTGCTATCAAGTTCCTAATTGGGTCAAGCTGCTGCAGGGAGAGGCAGAGGATGCGCTATCTCCCCTCCCCACATCCCCAAACCCTGTCGGTGCCAGCCAGCTGTGTGCCAGTGTAAATGCTTAAGTGCCAGCCCCCCCCCACACACACCCCAGAGTTCGGAGTTAGGTTTGGTAGCAGCAGCTGGAATGAGACTTCTAGAGGAGGGGACCCCAGCCGACCAGAGGCTTCGGGGGCGGGGCTGGACCCGAGGCGGCGGAGCAGCCTAGCCACAGCCTCAGCCATTGTTGGAGGCCCAGGCAGCCAGCGGCTGACCACGCAGCCCACCCTGGCAGCAGCTGAAGCCCAGCAGGGACTTTCCGACTGGGAAAAACGAAGCAGCTGCAAGAACACCCCGGGGGAACTTCTGGGAGTCCCTGGTGTTTTCGGTTGGGGGTGGGTGGAAGAGGAGGGATGCCAGTGTCTAAGTGGGGGAAACCCGCAGTGAACCCTGCCCTGTGTGCTGCGGCTTCTACAATAATCCAGACCCTGGGGCCTTCCCAGGTGCCCCCCGCCTGCACCTTGGCCCCCTCCCATGCTGATAGGGTTTGTCAGCATCTGCTTAGGCCACTGATAAATAGAATGGGGCTTAGTGAAGGACACCCCTAATCCTCAGCTGGGCCCCTGCAGCTCACCTCCATCCTGTCTCCCACTACATTTCCTCTACCAGCCCCGCCCCTGCAGCCTTGGGGACAGGAAACCACAGTAGTGCCAAGATAATTGTGTCTGGTCCTGCCCTTTCAGGAGGGGCCTAGGTTTTCAGGCAGAAGGGGAATTAGGGTGGGCCTTAGAAGGTCCTTCAAGTGTACATCCATGACCCCAGCAGCAGACACTGACATCTTGCTCTGCCCCTACTCTACAAATGAGGGGACAAGTTGGAAGGTGCCAGGGCCCTTCCTTTGCAGCTCTCAGGGATTGCGGGGTGAAGGGCTAACTTTGCCCCTGCCTATCTTTGTGGGGTTGCTTCCCTCCTAGGTGTGAGGCCCAGACAGCACCCAATGGATGACAAGAAGAAGAAACGGAGTCCCAAGCCCTGCCTGGCCCAGCCAGCCCAGGCCCCAGGCACACTACGCAGGGTCCCTGTGCCTACCAGCCACAGCGGCTCCTTGGCCCTAGGACTTCCTCATCTGCCATCCCCTAAGCAGCGGGCCAAGTTCAAGAGGTGGGTACAGAAGGGAAGCAAAGCAAAGGAGGAGGAATCCCAACTCTGGGCTGCACTTTAGAGAGGAAAGCAAAGGGGACCTCTGCCTTTAGTTCCTAAGCAATCATTAATGCCTTTCTGGAGCTGGCCCCTGAGAACTGAGAGCTCACTCAGACCCAGTGTCTATCTTCAACTGTGTGGCAAAAAGGCCAGGTAGGTCACTGGAATCACACAGCATGAGGATGTGTCTCAGAGGAGGGAGTGAGCAACTCTGCCAGAAAGTGAATGTTCCACGCTGAGAGGCTTACCTGGCATAAATATGGAAGAAAGCTATTACCTGAAAGGTTTCAGGAACCACAGGTGGTTTGGGGGCTCTGGAGTATCAGATAGGAAATGGTGAGGGAATACCTGGAGGCACAATTTGAATTCTGTTGAATTTTTTTTTATGATTGGGAGTTTGCATGCTGCCTTATGATGTATCCATGTTTGTTCTCCACTAAATACAATGTATTCTTTCTCCAGTTGTTCCAAATAAGACCACTGTGTTTCCCTGTGTTTTGCACATCACTTGTCTAAGAGGCATGAAGCTCAAGGCTGGGGGGAGAGTAGCAAGAAAGGCAACTGGGGAGGCAGGAGAGGGCCAGGCTGGCAGGGGCATTCAATTTTATCCTGAAGGCAGTGGAAACTTTAAGACAGTTTTTTTTTAGTTTTTTTTTTTTTTTAATGTATTTTTGGTTTTGTTTAAAACAGTTTTTAAATAAAAGAGGGCTGGCTAGGTGCGGTGGCTCATGCCTGTAATCCCAGCACTTAGGGAGTCCGAGGTGGGCAAATCATCTGAGGTCAAGGGTTTGAGACCAGCCTGGTCAACATGGTGAAACCTCATCTCTACTAAAAATATAAAAGTAGCCGTGCATGGTGGTGGGCACCTGTAATCCCAGCTACTTGGGAGGCTGAGGCATGAGAATCGCTTGAACCTGTGAGGCGGAGGTTGCAGTGAGTGGAGATTGTGCCACTGCACTCCAGCCTGTGCGACAGAGTGAGACTTTGTCTAAAAAAAAATTTTTTTAATTAAAAAAAAAAGGGGGGGGCAGACTGGGCGCGGTGGCTAACGCCTGTAATCCAAGCACTTTGGAGGCCAAGGCGGGTGGATCACCTGAGGTTGGGAGTTCAAGACCAGCCTGACCAACATGGTGAAACCCCAGTCTTAAAAAAAAAAGGGGGGGGGCTGGGTGCCATGGCTCACACTTGTAATCCCAGCACTTTGGGAAGCTGAGGCAGGCGGATCACATGAGGTCAGGAATTCAAGACCAGCCTGGCCAACGTGGTGAAACCCCATCTCTACTAAAAATTTAAAAACTAACAGGGTGCAGTGGCTGGCACCTGTAATCCCAGCTACTCAGGAGACTGAGGCATGAGAATCACTTGAACCCAGGAGGCGAGGTTGCAGAGAGCTGAGAGTATGCCACTGCATTCCAGCCTGGGCGATAGAATGAGACTGGGTCTCAAAAAAAAAAAAAGAGGTACGGTAAGATATTTTGGGAAGAGGTAAGATAGCCCTTGTGGCAATAAAGGAGTAGCTGTCTCTAGATACACTGAAGATTAAGGAGGATAAGTGATTCACTCAGGGTCATAGAACAAATGAGTGAGGCACTCAGGAAGCCAGGGACCTCCTTCCAGGCATGGCTCTGGCTGTGTTATTAGCAGAAAAGACTTCTTTTTGACCTCCTCATGCCTCCTCACTCACTCCCTTCCTGGTGCCCAAGGGAGGACCATAAACATCCATTTCTGCTCATGAGTAGATGGGCAGATGAATTAGTGCATAGGCAGAAGACACGAAAGATCTGGAGGTGCCTGACTGCCCCCCACCGTGTGATCATGGTCATGTCCACCCCACCCAGAGTAGGCAAGGAGAAGTGCCGCCCAGTGCTGGCCGGAGGTGGAGGTGGCTCTGCAGGCACGCCCCTGCAGCACTCCTTCCTGACCGAGGTGACTGATGTCTATGAGATGGAGGGGGGACTCCTGAACCTGCTCAATGATTTTCACTCGGGACGGCTGCAGGCCTTTGGTGAGTCCTGGGGGCTGGGCTCAGAGGGTCTGGGGATACTGTGGATAGGGCTGGAGGGCCTGGTCCGTGGGATATGGCTGGGACCAGGGTCCAGGGTTCCAGGAATCTTTCCCGGGGTTCAGACAGGGCTTCATTCCAGGGAAGGAATGCTCCTTTGAGCAGCTGGAGCACGTTCGGGAGATGCAGGAGAAGCTGGCTCGGCTGCACTTCAGCCTAGACGTATGTGGGGAGGAGGAGGAGGATGAAGAAGAAGAGGATGGGGTCACTGAGGGGCTGCCGGAGGAGCAGAAGAAGACGATGGCTGACCGTAACTTGGACCAGCTGCTTAGCAATGTGGGTTCATGTCTGGGTACTTTGGTTCCTGGGGCACCAGGGGTGGAGGAGGTACATGCTCTCTGGGTGAAAAGGTGGGAGTGCATGGATCCAAGAGCTCTGAGCCCCTCAGCTTCCCCAGAAGACAGCCCCCAGAGCATTGGGGATTTGGCTTGGTGCCCCTCCTAACAGAAGCTTCCATTTCTCTCTTTGTTGACAGCTGGAAGACCTGAGTAATTCAATGTATCCTTTCCAAGGAACCCAACTGTGTGCATGTTCCTGCGAGGTCAGTTTCCTCCTCCCCAGCACCCTCCAGGAGTGTTCACACACAACCAACTTCCCCACCTCTTGCACTCTTGTCAGATTTAGCCAGATTGCCCGAATGCCCAGGTACAGGAATTTAGAATTTCCCCAAAATTAGAAGAAAAGTGGTTGCTGACACTCAAGGGAATGACTCAAAAAAAAAAAAAAAGAAAGAAAAGAAAAAGAAAAGAAGTGGTTGCAAGGCCGGACATGGCGGCTCATGCCTGTAATCCCAGCACTTTGAGAGGGTGAGGCGGGTGGATCACGAGATAAAGAGATTGAGGCCATCCTGGCCAACATGGTGAAACCCTGTCTCTACTAAAAAAAAAATACAAAAATTAGCTGGATGTGGTGGTGAGCGCTTGTAGTCCCAGCTGCTCGGGAGGCTGAGGCAGGAGAATCGCTTGAGCCCAGGAGGCAGAGGTTGCAGTGAGCCAAGATCGCGTCACTGTACTCCAGCCTGGTGACAGAGTGAGACTCTTGTTTCAAAAAAAAAAAGTGGTTGCAGGAGATGTTTTACTACTGATCAAAATCTTTGCGAGTACTTTAGCTGACACCAGTCATGGCAAAGCTTGCCCGATGTCCTCCTATCCTTTCAGCATTGAGCAATTATTTTTACTGATTTACACTACCACTTCACCTGGTCCTCAGAAACAGAGCGCACACACCCCACTGTGTTTGAAGAGAGAGGGAGTGAGAGAGGGCAGGCGGGGACTGCAACCCCAGTCCACAACCTTTGCACAGGTGAGGGAACTAAGCCCTTGCAGGATGGGAGACTCGGGTGGGAGGACTGGTCCAAAGCGCCACGATCCTTGATGGGCACAGCCAGAAGCTGCACCTGGCCGAGAACGCAGAGCCTGAGGAGCAGTCTGCTGCGTAGGTGTCCCACGCAGGCCCACACTGCTCCTCCCATTCTCTTCAAACTGTGACTTTTTACGGACTCGGACTGATGTTCCACGGCCCCCCAGGTGCTATGGGGGAGGGGGGCACTGGATGGAATTAAACCAGAGAAAAATAAAGCGGCTCAGTGTCCTGCTTCCCCTCATTGCCTCTTTTCTCCCGGCATCCGCGGAGACAGCCCAGCGCCGCGGGCCTTTGGTTATGGAGATCCCGCCTGCGGGACTGGAGTGCCCCTTGCGGCTGTGGGAGGGGGAGTCGGGGGCTGGGGCAACGCAGGTCACCAGTCGCGAGGACGCCCCTATCGAAGAAGGGAGACTGTTGCCGTGGGGACGGGAGGGCGGGGCCCACGCCCGCGCTCGCTCCGCAGCGGCGCCGATCAATGACGTACTGCGCAGGCGCGGGGCGGGCCTGTCAGGCCGTTGGCGCCCATGGAGCGGGAGCTGCCGGTTCGGAGGGTGTTGGCGATGCAGGTGCGGGGGCGGAGGCGGGCGCGGGCGCGGGGTGCACAGGATTCTCCCTTAGGGAAATCATGGGGTCTTGTACCGGGACCTCACAGCGAGTCCCTTACCTGCGCACCAATCTCTGGAGATTCCGGCCTCCCAACCGCGCTGACGAAAGCTGGGACCCACAGACTCCCTGCTCTGCGCACCCCCACTCCCACCACACGCTCGCGCGGGATCAGGGAAACAGGAAGAGCCTTAAGGCGAGGGGGAGAATCCAGTCCGGCATCCTCCCTCAAGCCCCCCGGAGCCCCAGCGCACAGCCCACCTATCCTTTCCCCGCCGCCGGGTCCCCTCTAGCATTCGCCGGGACGACCTCTCCAGGACAGTCCTTTGAGACCTCCCCCCCTTGCGGTGATGAGGGACTTATTCGCTCTCGTTCTCCACTCCAGGCCTGCGTTCGGGGCTGCTTGGTCCGACGCCAGTTTCAGAGCCTGCGAGCTGAGTATGAGGCGATTGTACAAGAGATCGAGGGCGACCTGGGCACGCTTCAGTGGACCGAGGGCCGCATTCCCAGGCCACGATTCCTCCAAGAGGTAGGACACACCTAGGAGAGAAAGGAAGGAGGGCTTGGGCAGAGTGGAGCCACCCTTCCTGGTGACAAGGTTTTCTCACTGGAAGAGGCAGCAGACTCACCTCCTCACACCCTAGTCCTTAATCCTCACCAACTTGTCTGCCAGATCATGGTGCCCAGATACTTGGAAGAGTTAAGCCCCGGGCTTTCACATCTCTCTAATTTCTCAGAAGGCAAAATCCCATCAGACCTGGAAAGCAGGAGACAGGGTAGCAAATCCGGAGCAGGAGCTGTGGAACCACGTCCCGTGTAAAGAGTCTGAGGGAGAGGCCACCTGGGAGGAGACGGTGCTGAAGAAATCAGGAGAGAGCTCAGCAAACCAAGGAAGCCTCTGCAGAGATCACAGCCCCTGGCTTCAGATGGAACAGAACAGGAAACCCAGCCAAGAGGAGACCAGAGACACAACAGGGATGGAGACTCCAGGTACCTCTCTGCCAAGATCAGGGCAAGCCCTTGACCCTCTCTGTGCCTCAGCCTCTCCGTCTGAAGAGTGAAAGGCTTGTGCTAGATAAGCTGCATCCCCTTCCTGTCTTCTCTTTGCCTGGTTAGGGCCACCACATGGTTGGGCAGTGATGGGAAGGGAGATTTCCAAAGTCTAAAGCTAGGCCATTTCCTGGGCTCTGCTCCCTCAAGGTTTTCTTTTTTTTTTTTTTAATCTGAATTGAGGGGGGGTTTCCCCCCCGTTACCCAGGCTGGAGTGCAATGGCGCGATCTCGGCTCACCGCAACCTCCGCCTCCTGGGTTCAGGCAATTCTCCTGCCTCAGCCTCCTGAGTAGCTGGGATTACAGGCACGCACCACCATGCCCAGCTAATTTTTTGTATTTTTTTAGTAGAGACGGGGTTTCACCATGTTGACCAGGATGGTCTCCATCTCTTGACCTCGTGATCCACCCGCCTCGGCCTCCCAAAGTGCTGGGATTACAGGCTTGAGCCACCGCGCCCGGCCTCCCTCAAGGTTTTCTCCTTATTCCTTCCCTCTTTGACAGAAGCCACAGATCCAAGACTGTCACACAGCCAACCTGAGCTTCAAGAGCTTCAGTACCACCGCAGCCACTTGGCCATGGAATTGCTGTGGCTGCAACAGGCCATCAATAGCCGTAAGGAGGTAGCACTAACCTGCATCTCTTTCTGAACATTTAGGGTCAAGGGTGGGGGTTAGGGAGAGACCTCCTGCTATGCCCAAGCAGACCTGCTTGGTACAGTGTATGTTCTCTCCCTCAACAGTACCTAATTCTCAAACAAACACTGAGATCCCCAGAGGCAGGCCCGATCAGAGAGGAGCCCAGTGTGTGCCCAGAACATGGGAAAAAAGCCTGTGAGAGGAACCAGTCACAACCAAGCGCACCACTGGAGGACCAGTCCTACAGAGACAGGACCACTAGAGAGCTAGAACAGGAGGATGACTCCTGCCAGAGGGTCATATCCCCAGGAAGTCAAGCCACTACACAAAAAAACACTGCTGGGGCTAAGTGCAGAGAACCATGCTACAGCAGGGCTGGACCACCGTTGTCAATACCATCGAACAGCCAGGCTCTGGGGGACAGGCTCACCAAAGGGCCGGATGATGGAAGACAGACCTTTGGAGGCACCTGCCTGCTGCAGATGAAAATCCTGGAGGACCAGACCCCCAGAGGCTTAAAACTTAGGGACCATTGTCCCAGGAAGTACAGGACACAGCTGCCTGCACTCTGTGAGGACACATATAATAAAGAGACATCTCCCAGAAAACTAGACCACAAAGAGCCTGACTGCCAAACAGTCAGGACACAAGAGTTGGGCCTCTCAGAGGACCATGTCATCTCAGATGGGACCTTGTCAGGGCCAGAGCATGGTGGCCTTGATCTCTGGAGGACTAAACCACCCAAGATCAGACCCTTAGTGATAGAAGCTCCAGAGATGGAACCTCCAATGAGCCTAGTCACCAAGGACAGAAAAAGCAGAGGACTGTACCATGGAGATCAAAGTCACCTAAGATCCTGTCTTCCACAGGGGCGGGCTGTACAGGAGAGGAACAGTGGAGGGGCAGGCCATGGAAAACAGGACCATCTGGCTAGACCCTGGGAAGCCAGGAGAGGACCAAGTTCCAAAGGGGAATGCTATGAAAGGGCAGAGAGGACAAGACCTCATCCTACCTCCCTGGTACCAGCTCTGCCTTCTGCCCCTGCCCCTGGCATCAGTGCCTAGTGAGGCCAAGAGAAGCTGGAGCAGAGAGCTGGCATGAGTATAGGGAAGGAGGAAGGATACGCTTTCAATCTTCTGCCTATAGCTGAATCCAAATTTGTGGATAAGGCATTGGGCGTGGTGGCTCAACACCTGTAATCCCAGCACTTTGGGAGGCTGAGGCCAGTGGATCACTTGAGGTCAGAATTTTGAGACCAGCCTGACCAACATGCTGAAACCCCATCTCAACTAAAAATACAAAAATTAGATGGGTGTGGTGGCGCATGACTGTAGTCCCAGCTACTTGGGAGGCTAAGACAGGAAAATCGCTTGAACGCAGGAGGTGGAGGTTGCGTTGCAGTGAGCCAGGATTGTGCCACTGCACTCCAGCCTGGGTGAGAGAGCGAGACACTGTCTCAAAAACCAAAACAAATTTGTGGCTACCTGGGGGAAGTGGAATGGGGGACCTGTTGGGAATAAAGGTTTTTCTTACATTCTGAGCCTGGCTGCTTTCATTTTCTGCTTCTGGCCAGGACAGACTCTGGGCCCTGCTTTTCATTTCCTGCAGGCATGGGGCATTGATCCCAGAGCCAGCTGGGAGCCACAGTCCAGGAACAGATCTAGCCATCCTCCTTAGGGAACAACCCCTGAAGCTGATCCGCCATTGAGCTCAGCCTTGTGCTTTAGAGTGGCAAGGAGGCTCTGCAGAGTAAGGAACACCTGTGTTGAAGTGTGATCTCCCGAGAGCAGATTGGATGAAACCCTGAGTGCAGATAAATGCTCCTGCCAGAGGCTCCCTCTGCCTTCCTGGGTGAGAGGGCTGGACTCCACCTCTGATTGGCACCGCTCCCAGCCCTTCCTTGGTTGCCTGGCAACAGCTCTGTGTCTCTGACAGATTACACTATGGCGGCTGGCCATCCAGCAGCCAAGAGGGTTGTGGTGTACCGGAATGGGGACCCCTTCTTCCCAGGCTCCCGGCTGGTGGTGACTCAACGCTGCTTCCCCACCATGGAGGCCTTCCTCTGCGAGGTGAC